GAAAATGCTGCTTTTCAAGCCACAGGTACAGATGGCTTGCCAAACCAGATATTTCTTTGCGAACTTTGACAGTTTCATGTGCTTGAAAACATCTGCTACCTTTCCCCTTCCTTTTGCCGTATAAAACTCCTGTCCCGGAAGCTGCTTGTAGTTGGCTTTGACGTAGGATTCGTCGTCCATTACCACGCAGTCAAACTTCGTCAGCATCGTCGTGTACAGCCTCCGGGATCGCGCTTTGGCCGTCGTATTTTGTTTATCATCGCGATTTGGAGTCACTACCTTCTTGTAAGTCGATAGTCCGGCTCGTTTTTTGGCTCGATGCACGGTTGTAGACGATACACCCAGCTTATTTGCGGCACCTCGGAGAGAGAGGTTAGGGTTTCGCTTGAAACTACCGACAACTCTCTTTGTCGTCTCAGCGGCTTCCGGTTTTCGATTTCCCCCCGATTCAGACTTCCTGGCTGTCGACAAACGTTCCCCAAACACTTTAATTACATTTGTAACGGTTGATTTGGCAACTTTTAGCGATTTTGCCAACTTTGCGTGCGAGTAGCTCGGATTTTCGCGATGCGCGAGCAAAATTTTGATACGCTGCTCTTCTTGCTTGGACGGCATTTTGACAACTGAAGAGTGAATTCCAAAATCAAAATAGGAGCAACATTCTACACACACACACCTTCAAAATGAGGGGTGTTCAGGTTTTTTAAATGCAAAATTGAAAGAAATACGTCAAGTTGATATTGACCAAATTTTGACCGTATCACCCTTTAGAACGTTCGACCGGAACTGAATAAAAATGGAGACTATCATACACTACTAGTTCGTCTTGACAGCCAGGTTCACACAAGATTGTAACGAACATATATTTTCTTTGCTTAGGTTTAAGCAAAAAATACCAACAGCTCTGCAGTTCAAGAATTATTATTTAATTAAATTTAATTTTATTAAAATTTAAATTAAATTTAATTAAATTAAAACTGCTATCAGTTTCCCAATAGGCTTTTTTAATGCACCAACAATTTGAGGGCACCAGGCAAGTTCGAGAGGAAACGTCAACCAAACCGTTTGTTTACATCAGAATGAGGATTTTTTACAACGCAAATTAAAGCATTTTTCATTGAACATCTTGCCAATTTATATCGGTAATTGTCTTACTTTACGATTTTCCACTGATCTGAACCGATTTGTACTTCAACTATTCACACACTAGAAATCGGGAAGATCATACCAACTAATGCACTATTCTCATTTTATATTTTTCTCAGCAAAAATATTCCTGAGCACCAGCAGGATCCTTGCAAAAACGATATAGAATTAAATTTCTCGACTGTAGATTAAGTTTTGGAGCATCTCAGATGAATCTATTTATGAGGGAAAGATAAAAAGTGTTCCACTTCCTATGACTCACGGCAACAAATTCTGCTCACAACACTCTTTTTGAAGTTCTATTATTCATCACCAGAGGTTGAATCGATCGCTATGTTTCAATTAAACAGGCGTATTCACGTCAGAAATTCCAAACACATCGTATGAATACGATGATAGACTATGACTGACGGACTTTACAGCATACACATGGCAGGAAACGGCTTCAGTAAGTAACGATCTTCAAAAGTAAGTTGTGAGTGATGACCAACTGACAACTCTGAAAGAAATCAAATTTATCATATCGGTGGATATATTCTACGGAGCGTCGCCATGAACTAGACCGTTTGCGAAGCTTGTTTTTCGTCATGTACAGGGTGATTCGGAATAACTATCCCTTTTTGAAATGGTCATAACGATTGAACGCTTGCATGAATTTTTGATATCATTATATTCCAGATATTCTACATATATAATCTTCAACTAAGCATAGTTTATTGCAAATCTCTCTCCCTTTACCTTAATTATCAGCCACATTTGTCATGAAAATTAACCACAGCTGGCACGCACGCTTTAGTTCCAGCACTTTTTGAGTCCTGGTGATGCGTTTAAGCTCTGATATTGAATGGATTTTCCAAGCATGGTTCCTTTGTACCTCTATAATGATGCAAAAATAAATGTTACATTCTTTCGAAGAGATTTCAGTTTCTAAAAGATAACACACGATTTTTGTAAAGATTTATGCCATTCTCCATTTTGACGTCAATGGCGGCTTGAAATCACAAACGAATGAAATTTCAAATCCTACTATCAATGCAAGCTGATATTTGTACACACTTAAAACAAAAATACTTGAACATATACCCATTTTACCCATTGAGAATTGCATATTTGTGAAATCGGTGACAGTTATTCTGAATCACCCTGTATATCAAGCAGTGCTATCTTAAATTCATACTCGAAGTTTACTATACTGAAGGATTATACTGGCGAAGCATTATTGCTGTATATCAACGAAAATGTCTACGTTTTCTTCGTTGCTTTGGAAAGAATATTCCACGACAATATATCACTTACCATCACATCCAATAATAACGTTGCTGCCAAATTGGGTGGTCTTATGAAAGCACAAATATGTTTGAAGACTGTCATGATATCAGGATAAAAAATACTGAGCGTTTCCTTACCTTTAGGCTAAGAATCCATGAGTCGTACAAAGTTCAATCAAATAAGTATGACATTCGCTCTATGACATTATAACTTTTGTCATATTTTTCTGTTTTGCTAGCAGCGCAAACATTTCTATTGCCATAAAACAAAATCAAACGTTCCGATTCAAAATTGTTTTTTTTTCACTTACAAATATTTTGTGAAAATAATTACACACTATTTCCATCATTGAGGACAATACTCCTTTCTGGTGGATTGAGCGAACAGTAATATTTATTTACTTTGCTCGTTTGGTTCAGTGTTTGACGGTTCGTTTGGTTCTTTTTGCTTCAGTCCAGTGCTGAGTTGCATCACGGTACTGACAGCCTTTAGTTTGACAAAAGAGATTCCTAACAACAGAGAACCCTCTCTCCTTAAAACTTCTCACCAGTATGACACAACAACCGTGAGATATCGTTGTTTTGCTTTTCTCACTCATTCGCAATACCACTAACATCTGTCATGTGATACCATCATATCACCGAGGAAAAATAAATAGACATATAAATTGATCGTCATCTCATTTCGAGCATAAATACGGTTATGACGGTCATTCCTCTTCCAAAATGACGGATAAGGCGACAGCTGTGATATATCAAGGAAAAAGTCTTATCCTGCGTTATACAATCGTATCATAACCATTTTCTCGCGAAACGAAACCTACATTCACAAACCTAAAACACAATCGGGAAGAGGCGAATTTCCCCTACCTGTTGCAATTGTTGGTCTGCACATTTTCTTCACTTGAGGTTTCAACAATCAAAGCAACCATTGGTATCCATCAGCAAAGAAAACTTCAAATGGTTACTTTGGAGTCCGTAAGGAAACGCATTGTATTTCAGTAAATCTTCGCTAAAATTAATAGCGAATTCTTTTTTTTATTCAGTTCCAACCTGGATCGGGTATCAAGATTGGATCTGCTTGTCTTCTGACAATCGTCAGTTTTTTCGTTTGCTTTCAAAAACCCAACTCAGGTTGTGGTCCGCACTGACAAAAATCTCGGTTTCGCATTGATTTTGTCGAAGGTCCAGCTGTTGAAAAGATATTTGTTTTGACAGTAAAATTCTAGTGAGCTTGTCAATTGTGAGTTGTGTCAGTTTTGAGACGCGTAGGTAAAAGAGAATTGATATTTCCGATGGAACAGTGGCTTTTATTTGCAAATTAAAAAATTGCATTTTTGAAGATAAATGGATATTTTTCTGCATTGTAACGTAACAGACCCACATATTTATTTGTTACAAGTAAAATGAAAATCCAACGTTTTCTTCAAAATGTTTCGTATGTTTTGAACTTAACAACTTTTAGCAAGAACAGGAAAACGAGGGAGCATTATTCTCACTTCCCACTCATAAATGCCCAACAGTAATGATCAGTGAGTGAACGATTTTGCTACTCTCTTCTTCTCATTTAATCTAACTGGCTTTTATGAAGACGGTCTAGTGAGGTAGAGGTGTTTCCAAGTGATATGCTAGTTGACCGTCAGTTTTGAGATGTGACGGTTATGCGAGGATGACCGTCAAGGGACAATAACCGTAATGATAATGCACAGCACTGCTTCAGTTTCTGCGTGTCTCTATTCAACGTCTCTGGTTTGCAGTTCCGTGCGCCAACTCAATTTTGAGGTGTTGTCATTCACTCACATGTAAACAGGATTACTTACTTTAAAGTTGTTTTCACTCAACGTCAAGTTAAAACTACTCAAAACTGAGTTTTCTACAACTTACTCAATTTTAACTTGGCGCACGGAACTGTCGAGTTGGGTGATTAGAACTCAATTTTGGATTGTTTTGCTTTTTCGTTTTTGACAACAACAAGAGAGCAAGTGAGAGGCATCAACTCAAAAGTAAGTTTAAATAACTCAACCGTTGGGTAGTTTTGGTTCTCCGTGTATATCACAGCCTCTCTCTCTCTACTACATAGGTCGCTAGACCACAGGAAAATTAATAACCAGGCGTCTCCATAAAATTTGACTCGTTTATGTGGAACCTCAATGTACAGTATTCATGTGATTATTCTTGCCATACTGGTGGTATATTGTATCGATTGTAGTACGTAAATGTTATCACATTTACCCCAATTGTAATTCCCGCATACGATGCTACCGACTATAAACAGAAATGGTGCGTTCCAAAATGTACTGCAACTCAATTTACCACGCAAATCCCACACAAACACCCGGTGATTTGTGACCGTTTACAGGCAATTTCAAACCCGAAAGCAAGACCTTATCCCAGCACGCACATCTGATTTGTGCGATTTGTGTCCCAGGAAAGAAAGTGAGTAGAATAGAAAAGAGTGAAATAAATCCATCAACCTTTTTGGGTGAACCTCCGAAATAAGTACATTTTGCTTCGATTTTTGCATTTACACACACACACAGATAGAGAAAAACGTGAGATCGTGTCCAAAAAGCCCCCGAAACTTACCCTTGTTCTTAAGTATCGTATTGATGGTCGGACTGGCCGGTGCCGCCGCAGCCGGTTTCGAGTGGGGTGCAAACCGGACGGTGTGGGTTGGCGTAACGCAGCCGTCCCGTGGTCCGATGGTGGGCAGTGAGCTGGACGTTTGCAGTGGGTGCTGGTGTCTTCGAAGACCTTCCGCAGACGGTGGTGGGGGACCTTCGGCCGAGGGTCGTGCCGCTGTCGGTGGAGTGGAGCTGAACTCAACCGGTCTCTCGTAGCCGGAGGATGTGGTCCACGGGGCAGGCACTTGTGGCGTTTCGGCACGGGACGAAGGCGGTTGAAGGATCCGTCGCGTCGGTGTGGGAGATTCGAATCCGATCGGGCGGAACTCGCGGCGTTCGCTGACCGGGGATGGCGGGGCGCTACGGGGTGTCCACACGGGTTGCACCGCTTCACCGTTGCTGCCGGGTTTGCTTCGTTCGGCTAGTTCTGCTTTGGTGAGAACCTCGGTCGAACGGTTGTGCGGTGACCAAACGCCTGTGGACGGGAGAAAGAAAACACAGGGGGAAAATTCAATTAATCCTGAATGTAAACAGAGTTGTTGTCAGCCGGCGAGCGACCAACTGATGATGACCGGAATGTGATGATGCGTGAATCATGGCGGGGGTTAGACTGGTTCCTATTCGGATCGAACGGAATGCTTGGGATGGTTATTACATTTTCGGCTACGAACCAATCTGCTTCATCTGGGAAAGACGGGGAGGTGGAGCAAATTCCTGTTTAGTTGGATTACGGTAAAGGGTGTTGATGCGGAAACACATGTCCACACACACACAAACACGGCGAAGCACAGATGGTCTGCAGTCAGCGAGAGAGGATTAAACCCGTTCAATTGTTGGCTGTGGGTGGATGTTGAGTAAAGTGCACCTGCAGAGGTATCTGAATCTCCCACCTTGGGTAAAGGACCTGGGACGCAAATTGACAACATTGTCACCGATGAGACGTCTGTGATGCATACCACTTGCAGATTGGCCGGGATGGGATTTTATCATATCAGACAGAGGCTGAACAAGTCAAATACAGTATGCATGGGTGTGCAAATAAGCCAATCCGGATCAATGGCTTTACGATTTGGTTGAATGATCTCGAATTAAGGCCGTACCGTAACCGGAGCAGCAGAGCAATTGTATGGCTCTGCAGCAGCAATGTTGATCAATCGCTTGGAATGGCATTGGTATTGTACTAATGTGCGCTTACAAATAAATCGATTTTAATAGGTTTGTGGTTGTTTCAACGAAAATGTAACTCCCTCTTTCGCAAAGATACAAATTTTATGTGATTTCCTGCAAACATTGCTTGTCAAACAGGCAACCAGTTGTTTTGGGTAACTCGTCATTGCATTTTACTGGCTCACCTAAGTAAATTAACTGCAGTCCATGAACCTCAGCTCTGTTTATATCCATAAGATCCAGTCATAAAGATTCATTTTCAGCACCTCCTAGCTTGCTTGAATGCATGCCACTATATGGCTACTAGGGATGTCCGATTTGAGCTAATCGATAATTTGTTTTCCTTCGAATAATTTTCCGATTATTCTTTTCAACCACAAATAAAATCAGTGTTGGCAAAATCATCAATCAAATAATATTTTTCCGCTCTCATACGCTCTCAATATCACGCGTGATATTGGAACAAGCTCCTTTGATATTGCGAGACTATTCACAACATGCAAAAATCAAGCTGAGAGTTGAATCAAAAAATGATTCCGTTGCACATCGTCTTCTTATAAAGAGAAAGCGGAGTTTGCTATTTCTCTTTACTCTTTATCGATGGCAGACACGAAGCTACTGCTGCCAGCAGTGGCGGTAGTTTCGGGCCGCGTTCGGATGTAAAGCAAACATCATGAAACTAAAACTCTCCATGGTTTGGTTAGAATTGTAGCTGGTGAGCAGTGTTGCCAGTATTCCAGATTTATCTGGATTTTCCAGATTTTCGTTCATCCGGCCATATACACAGACAGATCACGTATATTTCCAGATTTTCCCAGATTTTTCAAACATGTTGCTTCAAAAATATAATTGCAATTGATTCACACTCTAATCAAAAAATAAAAACTGCTTCTTTAATTATGAAAGGCCATCAACGTTGGAAAATATTACAACATCGTACATGGAATTGTTACAACATGTTTGCATGTTAATGGATTGCAGAATCATGAAAATGGAACCATTTTCTAAATATTATTCGCTGAAAAAAATCTTCAAACTTTTTAAAATAGTGGGCCTAAATGTTTGTTTAATTGGAATTATTATTTATTTTCTATATTGAAAAAAAAAATCAAAATTTAAATATGGAGGAATTTTTATAATTTGTTAATCTTGAGAAATCGAAAACTGTTCAGGATTGAAAACAATAAATTCAGCCTTGGAAAATTAGCAAGGCTTTTGAATCTAAATAGACAGCTACCAGGACTTTGAAGTATGTTTGTGAGATTTTTGAGGATATTTCATAAAGAAAATTGGAAAGGCATCTGATAATTTTTAGCATTTTTTTAAGTACCTGTGAATATTGAGTTACAGCAGTCTGAATTTCTTTAGAATTCTGAATTGCCCTAAAATTTCAAAATTTTAAGGTAATGCTGAAAATAGTTTACAGTGAAGTGTGAGGCAAATTCTTTGCTAAATCAAAGGAGTTAATTCTGAGTAGAGTTCCATCCATCTTTGTAAGCTTCGTGGTCGTACGGTGTCACCCGTCCTTCAGGTGTATTGTGAGTGCCACGACGAAGTGAGGGTTCGATTCCCGCTCCAGCCAGTGGAACTTTTCGCAACCTGAAAATTTCCCTACTTGTCTACTGGGTGTGGTGTGTTGTCAGTTTTCTTGTGTTAACTTTTCAGTCTGTGCAACCTCTGGTTGAAGACAGTGTCAGTTGTATTTTTTTAAAACTCATATGACAATTGCATGGAGATATTGTGAAGAATGGAAATAGAATTCGGAAGAGAAATCAAAGAAAGTTCGTATGATGAAACTTAAGGAGTATGCTGATACGAATCGTGAGAATAATTTCAATGGAATTCTGTTCAATGCTTCTATGGAGATTCATTTTTATAACATTTTAAGAAATTTAAGAGAAAAACGAAACATCTGGCAATTTCTGGGATGCCATTTTGGCAAAGTATTTGAGTATTTACTTAGCAAATACTGAAAAGGATTCTAAAAACAACTCTGAGCTCAAAGGGAATTATCGGATAAGTCTGAGCATAGTGTGCCGGTCATTCTGAAGAGTGTGACAAGGAAATTATTAATAATATTCTAATGGAATTTCATAGAGAAAGATTAAAACAAAATTATGTCAATTTTTGGGAATTGTTGCTAGTTTGAGGGAATTGTGGAATCCGAGAGTGATTTATAAGAGATAACAAGAGAACTCTTAGAATGTTACTGAAAACGTTAGGATATTATCAAGATTATTTTAGGGGAATCCAGAAAAGAAGTATGATGGAACCTGTAGTTTAGGTAAACTGTGTGTGAATACCACGATGTTAGGCTTTGATTTCCACTTCAGCCTGGTAAATTTTACTTTAAAATAAAATGCCTACTAGGGGAAATGCAGGTAATGTCGGCCTAAGTGTCCTTAATTTGGGCCCATACATTAATTCAGCAATCGACTAAATTTTCAATAGCAACCAAAAATATCCATTAGTAACGTCCCAATAACGCGTTCAATGTTGGCCGATTTAAGCAATGCTAACAAGTTATTTGTTTTATATAAATTATTTGAACATTTAATTCATAAACATTTTGATTTCAATAGCATTATGTTAAAAAACAGGATTTTTGAAGCCTTCCAGATTTTTCCAGATTTTATGTTTCAACTGGTCCAGATTTTTATCAAAATGACCTGGCAACGCTGCTGGTGAGTTTTGTTAGCTTGATATTCGTAGCTACGATATCACAGCTTGTCACATCATCCGCTGTTGCTTGCTTGTTGATTATTTTCTACGAAAATCCAACACTGAATAAAACCATTGATTTTATTTTAACTGAATATGTATTCTAAATATTAATGGTTCTGCGATCATGTTGGGTTATTTTCGGTGAAACCATAATGACCATAGTGAAGACACACACAAAAAAAATCCAAGCGGAAAAAAAGTCGAAACATTTGTGAATTGTTTTCTGCCAGCGACAGAACATTTGTGTACATGCGCGACATAGATTTATTGTATGTTTAATTTAGTGTTTTTTTGGCTAATTGCTGAATTTATTTGATGTTTATTGCATTTGCAATTAAAGGAAAAGAATGAATACTAACCACTCATTGACATGGACGTTAAAGTTATGCGTAAATGACGGAGTTGATAATTTACTGTCACACGCAAGCTAAAATTTAATTACTATAAACTGTTTAAAAAAGAATGGGCTGCGAAATTTGGTTTATTCTCTATCTCCGCTATTTGCTTGAAATGTACAGACATTTCTTCGCTCCGGACGATGGTTTTACAAAAAAATTACATTCGCCATCATTGATCAAAGGCCATTAATTTAGCACTTATTCATCCCGTCACCGAAGCGTCCCAGGATTTGAGTGACATAAGTGTTGTAAGATTTGGTTGATTTCTCTAAACTTTTACAGTGCCACAAATTTTCCACATCCACTTGCCAATCAAGCGAAATTGAAATTGACTGTTTGATGATCCCTCAAGGTGGATTCTCTGTCACCCTGTTGGATCACCGTCCATATAGTTCAAAGCAAAACTGAAGCGCTTTGAAAACCCACGCGCAGCATTACGACGAGCGCGGCACACGTGTGCCATTTCGTGAGTGTTAATAAATCAATCACAGAGGATTCCACTTACAAATATGGGACGAGTGCCGGGTGTCTTTGATATTCACTTGTTACACCTTGAATCGAGTGCGAGACACAAGCTGTTCGTAATTCAATTTTGAACAACTCACATACACACTTACACATATTGTAGAGCAGTTCCACACCAAATGACGAATCGATATGATGCGACTTTCTTCGATTTGCATGAAATTTTGCACAATTGTTTGTTATGGTCGGTCATTTATATTTGTGCTCAAACTCGACCATTTTGAATTTCATCAAAAGAAAAATTAAAATGGCAAATTTGATATTTTCAATCAATTATAACTCGCAAACGCCACTTCAAATCGATGTGATGTCTGACATAAAGTTTTGGGAATAAATAATTGCTTTACTAGAAATAACTTTTGGACAATTTTTTTGCCGTGGACTACGTCTTACGGGATGGTACTGGGGGTAAATCTAAAATCTTAAATTGCGACCGTCACGAAAAGGTGTAAGGTTGTGAAGGCTTATAACCTTGTCATTTATAGATGAAATTAAAATCCAAATACACCAATCGATAGGAAGTAACCCTCACAATCTGCACCTTTAAATGCTTTTCTACTTTTCCATGAAAAACTGTTGAAAAGTGTACAAATAAAATGTGATAATTTTAACACTGTTTTCATTAAATAAACGTTCTCCCCAAACCAAGTCGTCATAATCG